AATTCTCGGCAGTCACTCCCCGGCCCCCTCCAAAGCCCCCTCAGTCCACGGCCTTCCCGACGTTCGTGCTGACTCGCTTTCGCGACCTCCCTCACGAGTGCCTTCAAACTGTCCTTCTGTCTCCATCCGAATAGATACAGACCCTCAGGTCCCTTCTCTGTACCCTCCCCTTCAGGAGTTCTATTCCTCTGCTCCACCCCCCAATTCCCAGGACCCCGGCGACCAGTTAAACCCCTCTGAACAGGCAGAATTAGAGGACGAGGCCGCTCGCTACAATAATCCTGACTGGCCACCGCTCGTGGCGACAGTCCTTCCGCCATTCAAACTGCCTCCTTATAGTACCTCTCACGCACCCGCCGCCGCCGCCATTTTGCCTTCAGCGCATGGCACGTCCGCCATTCCGCCCGCGGCGTGCAAGGCACCCCCATGCCTCTAGCTGTCTCCACCAACATATCAGCCCTGAATATCACCGAACAAAACTGCACCCTCAGCATACCCTTTAGAGTTCAGCCTATGCTCTTTGACTCCCTCCCCCTTGTATCTATAAAAGTTCACAAAATAATTCTTTTGATATTTCTGTTGGTTTCGCCAGCTTTACCAATTGTAGCCACACGCTTAATTACAGCACATCCCTCTGTCCTGGCCCAGGGCGAGCATTCGTGTGTGGTAATAATCTAGCTTTCACCGCCTTGCCCGCCAATTGGACAGGGCTATGTGCCCTAGCTGCCTTATTACCTGACATAGACATCATCCCAGGAGATGAGCCCGTCCCCGTCCCTGCTTTTGACCACTTCGCAAGACGGACACAAAAGAGCCTTAGCTGTTATTCCCCTGCTTGTTGGTCTAGGAGTCTCTGGAGCGGTAGCTACCCGAACTACAGGATTAGGAGTAGCAATTCACTCCTATACAAAACTTTCCAAACAACTTGTCGATGATGTACAAGCCTTATCAAATACTATTACTGACATTCAAGACCAATTAGATTCCCTAGCAGAAGTAGTCCTACAGAATAGACGAGGTCTAGACTTACTCACAGCAGAGCAGGGAGGTATCTGTTTAGCTTTACAGGAACGATGCTGCTTTTATGCCAACAAGTCAGGCATCGTACGGGACAAGATCAAGACCCTTCAAGAAGACCTGGAAAAACGGCAAAAAGCTCTGACTGAGAGCCCTTTCCTTACAGCCTTCAACGGACTGCTCCCCTTTCTTCTCCCTCTCCTCGGGCCTTTAATAGCTATCATTCTTTTCCTGACCTTTGCTCCCTGGATTCTCAGGCGCACCACAAACCTCATCCGAGACCAACTTAACTCCCTTCTTGGCAAGCCTACAGATACATTATCACCAACACAAAATGTGAACCTTTTATCAGCATTTCTCAGAATGTCCCAGCGCACTCCCCTTTTCCCTCCTGAAGACAGTATTCTTGGCATTATACTTTACATATGAATTGTAATGGATACCGCTAGGTGCTGGAGCAAAGCAAAAGCTACCCGGTCCTGCTGTCTCGCTGAGAGGCAAGGGGCATGGGATGACACACCAACCAACTGAACAACCCAGTCAGGGGCTCCATATTATTTTCTATAGTGGCTGCACCGATTTGTAATCCCACCAAAAACAACTATACACTTCATTTAAACTACTGTGTTGTTCCACTTTGAGTGAGTGATACCTAACGACAAGCCATGTGTGCAGTTGACACAAACATGGGTGTCCTTGGGCCTGGACGCCACATACACTGAAAATAGCTCAACGTGAAAGTTGAGAGAGAATGAGGTGGAAGGCCCAGAAAAAAACCCGTTGAACAGAAGGCTTATTTTGCATATCCTCAACAACTCTAGAATAAAGGGTCCAATCCACTAGTTCCTCGTCTCCAGAAGAGGCAGGAATCCAGGTGTCTTGGCATCGGATGAGGATTATCATGGCCGTATTAGCTGTAACCTTGCAAAAGGTAATAAATACATCTAGTACTAATTTCTCACTGAGCTGACAAGAGGCATGAGGAAACACTTGTTTCCAGGAATGCACACTTTTGTGTTATCGTTGTTTCCTCCTGCATGTTAATTGAGAGCTAGAAAGCATTCCAGCATTTCTTTCTCTCCCAGAGTTACCAGTTGGTTTCATTATTCCCCAGCCCAGCGCCTCAACTAGACTGAGATGCAATTGCAAAAGATGTACAATGGAAAATTAATATTTTCTACATAGACTTCCTCATCTTGGGTAGATTTATGGATTTGGCTTCTGTTATGCAGAAGTTAGCATTTTAACAATGAGGGGGGAAATCCGTAATTGTTTTTTTATTGCCTCAAGAGCTCCAAAGACACCTTATGCTATGTCACCATTTACATTTCACATTAAATGCAAAATGTTTGAAATGAGCTAATATTTGTTTTAATTCAATACATCTGTTAACTGAAATACTAAGAAAAGCTAACTCACTATATTAAATTCAGTGATTTGTAAACAATTTATACATTAATTTGTTCTGGGTCATAAATGCCCCCAAAGTTTATGTTTTATGAAACCCCCCCCCAAATTGCATTGTATTAATCTGATGGGTGCAGGCCATAATTGCTTCCTTTTCACTCCATTAATTTATTTCCTAACTTGAGTTAATTAGTGAGGTTCCTATTTTTAAAAGCTCTTTAAATTCATTGGGACAGGGGCACATTCTCAAGAACTGCTTCGAAAACCCAGTGCAGAGGAAATGGGCTAAAAACAAAGGGTGAATTTCCCCAAGACATTATTGCACATTGAGCATCTGATTGCCATTCAACAATCTTTATGCAGGGAACACAGTGGGTGATGAATACATATTTGTTATAAGAAAGAGGGAAAGAACTAGAAGGAAGAGAGCAGCAGTAAGAATAAACTCATTCCAGGTGATTACTAAATGCATGAGAAATCTCCAAGATTCTATTCATCTCTAAATGAAAAGGCTTCTGATTTTATGCTACAAAATAGAGACTGACTTTAACTTGGAACAGTACCCCTGGGAAGGGAGGAGATGTCTATTCATAGAAATATTTTAAAAAATCACAGAAATTAGTCCAATTGAGAACAAAGATAAATCAATTATTTTTCCTTGTTCGAATACAACCTTAATATCCCTAAGTTAGAGTAGAAGATAGTATATTGAATGTAAAAAAAAAAGAAGAAGAAAGAAAAGAAAAGAAAAAGAAAGGAAGGAATTCATTCACACTAAAGTATAAATTACTGTTAAAAGTTTAAGATATGGCTAAGGGTGTTTAGGAGAAGAGAGAACTAAGCTTTCAACAGAGTTCAAGGGTCATGGGTATGCAACCTGTGGCCCCAGGGGCCACCTGCAACCCAGGATGGCTATGAGTTCAGCTTGACACAAAATCATAAATTTACTTAAAACATGATGAGATTTTTTGTGATCATGCGTCACAATGTATTTAATGTGTGGCCCAAGACAACTCTTCTTCCATTGTAGCCCAAAGACACCAAAAGGTTGGACACCCATGCAAGCAAATGAAATGTTTATGCCTTCCTGCAATATTTTGGGCAGCAGCCAGTGGATGAGAGAAATTGAATTCAGTGGTGCCCTTCCAAAGTCTGCAGAGTTACCTACTTATGGTACTTGCAGCAACACCACCAGCCCAATCTAGGTAGTACCTTCCTTATCAAAGTCCTGCTTTATTTCATTTTCCCTCTCCAGTCATTTTCTTGCACTGAGAAGCAAAATTTGGTTTGGCACTTAAGTGCATTTAAACTAAGTCTTCTCTAAGCCTCAAATTCTATGAAATGGAAATGTACATCACCTAGCACAGGCCCTGATGCAGAGTAAGCATCCAAAACTTGCAAAATTCCCTCCTTTCACATCTCACAGATACAGTCAAGTCAGCTGTAGACACACCAGAAGCCAGAGGAAGTGCTAGGACAAGACCAGGTTCTTTCCATTCTCTTCAGTTACCTTCAAATTTTCTCTCATGTCTAACGCTTGGTCCTGGAACCTGTTACTCCAGTTTCCCACACCTAAACAAACAGCACCATGGTTCATTCTTTCTCCTACTGCAGCACTGGAAAGGGGAGGGGGCAGGGGAGAAACATTTGTTACGTGAACTCTCCCTTGACTCACATGCCCAGATCTTTTTCTTGTTTCTAAAAAATATTTTCTAAAACATTCACTCACACAAACTTTATGTGTCTCCATTAAAGCCCTGTGCCCCAGAGGGCAGCCACCAGGCCCCTCTTTTGAAGGCTTGGGAGCATGCAGATGATGAGCTCCTTTTTCCTGACAGGAGGGTCTGACTTTAAATATTTTCATCACAACAAAAATTTGGAAAGCAAAGAGCTTTGTCTGCATGGGAATTGAGTGTTTTGGATAATCCATCAAGCCCCAGGAATCTGTGGAGCCAGATTTTCTGGATCAAGCAGGTGGGTGGCCCCCCCTGTTTCTCGCCCTGTTGAAGAACAGACCCACCACAGCAGACATGCAAGCCCCGCCTTGAGGAGTGCTTGTCTGAAAGCTCCGGTTTCATGAAACTAGGTAGATCACCCCTGGGAATAAAATAGCCTGGGGAGAGTGTTTTCCTGACAGCCTTGCTTCTCCAAAGAAGAAAAATGGGAACAAAAAAATCTGTCTGAGAAAAATATTCCTGGGTAAAGATAGGCAAGATAAGAATACTATCTTTCATCTGCACAGAACTTGGTCCTTCTCAAAGGACTTTCACCTCTCCTGCATTATCTAATTTGACCCTCACATTGCTCGTATTTTCATCTCCATTTTACCCAAGATATTTTGTGACTCACTGGAGGTCCCAGAGGTGCTATTCTGGAATATACCCAGACCTTCTGACTCCTGGTCTGGTGCTCTTTTCACCATAATCTTAATGCCCAAACACAGAGAACAGATCAGTACCTCTTCAACCTCAAGAACTTGTTTACACGTGTAAGGCAAGATTTGCAGTTAAGAAGAACACAGGGGAATAGGGACAGGAGAAGGGGAAGCTGCCAGGCTGCCCGCTAGCAGGACTCACTCAGGAAGAGGATGGTCTGCCTCCTGGCCGCCCGGCTCTCCTGGCTCTCGGACTTCCTCAGCTGCCCCTCCCCGGACAGCACGCCCTGCTTGCTCCTCCTGAGCACCTGCATCATGTTCCAGCACATGAAGGCCACAGCGACCAGGACCACGAGGTAGACCACAAAGGCGCTGAAGATGCTGGCTTGGAAGGTGGTCCAGCGGCTGGAGAGGCTGGTACAGATGGACATGTTGGAGGTCTCGGGTTGCTCGTGGTGGCGGGTGAGGGAGCGGTTGCAAGAGAGACCCTGGTGACTGTGTACGCGCAACAGGGGGTACTCAACTCCCATGGCAAAAAGCAAAGGCAATGCCAGCAGGGTGGAGGTGACCCAGACGAAGCCAATCAGCAGCTTCACCTGGCAGGGCCCCGACATGGCCTTGTACCAAAAAGGGTGGCAGATGGCGACATAGCGCTCGAAGCTGAGCGTCAGCACATGCAGCAGCGTGGCGTAACTGCAGGTCTCGAAGAGAAATTTGTGCAGCTTACAGGACAGGGCATGGCTGGGCGTCGTCAGGGGGTTCCAGATGATGCTGTAGAACTCCATGGGCATGCCGATGAGGAAGACCAAGATGTCGGAGCAAGCCAGGCTCACCATGTGATCTGTCACCTCCTTCTGCAAGTAGCCTTTCTTCTGCAGCACCTGGGTGACCCGAATAGTGACACTGTTCCCCAGGATGCCCACCACGAAGATGACCAGGTTCACCAGGATGAGAGTGATCTTGATCCAGGTGACCACCTCGAATCGGGGTACATGGCTGTGATCAATAATGTGGGAGCAGTCACCACTGGAGCCTCTGGGTGCAGCCATCAGGGAGGAAGTCACGCTGCCAGTCCCAAGACCTCCACTTCCCTCCTCTCAGAGGAGCCCAAATTTCTTAGCTGCAACTCAGGAGGGCTTTCTCTCGCTCAGGCTTGCCTGAAGACGGTAATTTAGTATTTCAGGTGGTTTCATGGAAACTTCCTGGAGCAGCCCAACCTATAGCGGCCCGGAGGCGCGCCTGGGGGGTGGAGTTTGGGGGCGCGCGGTAAGAGTGAGGCGGAGACGGCGCGGACGGAGGGAGGAGGTTCTAATCTGGCCGAGAGTGAGCCCCGCAGCCGCAGCGTGCAGGCCCTGCTCCCCTGGAAACCCTGGCAAGCTCTGCCCTGCTGCTCTCCGTCCCGCTCCAGCTGCCTGGCACTTGCAGCCTCCAACTCACCCTCCAGGAGCACACTCGGCGCTACTAGAGGTGGAGTGGTCAGGATCAATCATTAACCACCAGTGACTGGGCTCAGCGGAAGGCTACGGGCACAGCCCAGCCTCAGGGTTTGACTCAGGTCACGGGCATGGTCCCAAAATCAGATCTGGGCTCCGAAGCTCCGAGCCAGAGTGGCCCCACCTCCCCCTCCGCCCACGCGGCTGCTCAGACACAGCTGTGGCCAGCTGCCCGGACCGACGTCCTAGGAAGCGCAGCCCAGGGGGAGTTGGAGTGCGCTCCCGGCCTCGTAGTCCGGGATTGCTGCTGGGAAAGACCAGCTTCCCTTCTGCCCTATCCCCACTGCAACAGCTGGCCTGGGGGTCCTTCAAAGGTTGAGACACCGCCTGTTGAGGGGCAACTGGAACCAAGCACTGGCCTCAGTAACAGGCTAGTTGGCCGGATCACCCTTAGAGAACGCAGCAAACGCTAGCCTCCTTGGTGCCCTGCCTCTGCCTTTGGGGCCCTGGGGCTTTTGCAGAGGATGGTTGGGGCTGGGCCGCTCCAACCGCTGTTTCAGGAAGCCGGCCCCAAGCAGGCTCAAGGATCCCCATAAAAGTCCCGTCTGCCTCCAAAGACTCTCTATGTTCCTCGCAGAGCCCTGCCTTCTCTTCCTTCGGAGGGAAGTGGGGAACACGGGGGCTTTCTGATTCATTCCATGGCTGAGGCCCCTCTCCCACAGGCAGCGGCGGGAAGGCTTTACTGGGGGCACGTACAGGGATGAGGGTGTCGCCATCAGCCAAGTTGGGATGCCGCTGATGAAAGGCGTGGACTGCGAAGCTGCTGCAGCCAGGACGACGTGGACAGCACCAGGAGGCCGCTGTGCAGGCTCAACAGGGCCACGGAGCGACTTAGCGTTAAGGATCATGGCATTTTCTCTCTCTTCAGGGAGAGAGAAAACCTCTAATTGGCCCATTTTCATCTCCTAAATCCAAAATCAGAGAAAGTGGGGGGGGGGGTGGCAGAAGGGAGACTGTCTTGTGCATTGTAGAATGTTTAACACATATTGTACATCCCCCTCTCCCCATAGTTATAACCAAAATGTCTCCGTTGCCAAATATCTTCTGAGGGAGCAAAGTGGCCCCAGGGAGAGAAACACTGCCCTGCAGGAAGAAAGTAGACTCCCTTGATCTGACCATCCCAAGACCCTTGCACTGGCTCTGTACTAAAAACCATCTAAAATTATCAAACCACACCCCTGTGATGTGAACATTTTAAAGATGAGGACACCGGTGTGCAGAGAATAGGTGTTTCCCCAAGGCTAGAATAGAGTGAGAGACCTGAAATTAATCTAAATGTGTCATGCCCTGAGTCCTAAGAGGAAGGGACTTCTGGGAGCACAGTATAAGCTCGGAAAATGAGTTCTTTAATGATGCACAGAAAGATATAGGGACCGTATTTTCTGACCGCACGCCAGACACATGGTCTGAGGACCTCAAGGAATATTTGATTTTGACACTGTCTCAAGAAAAAAAAAAATTCTCTGTTTGTTCTGTTAAATGATAAGCTCTGAGGCCAAGAACTGCATCTTCTTACTCTCTGACACCTCTCCATAGCACCCTCATAATGTTTTGCCAAGAGCCCTTCTCCACACTCACATGTGCTATTCAACCTACTTGCTGGAATCTCCTAACTCATTCCCTTATGGGTGCAGTGTGCTTGGCTGAGGGACCTCAAGAGCCATATAGCTGTCCCACAAAGTTCACAGGGTAAGTATGGACCCTCAGGCCTTCATAACTGTCCCAAAGCTGTTAAAAAGAAGGTGGTCTAGGAAGACACACATCTCAGCCCGCTTCCTCCACCACCAGCACACATGTCTCACTAAGTGGACCCTGCCCACTTCTTTCTTGTCAATGGAAAATAAGCAGGGAACCTAGAAAGTATTTCTCTGCCCAGCCATATATCCTCCCTTTGAAATCCTCTTAGTCATTCCCTGAGTCCCTATTATATGCCAAGCGTTTTCACATAATTTATTTCTTTCAGTCCTCAGAAGACTGCAAAGTGGACATTACCCCATTTTATAGATGCAGAGACTGAGGATCAGGGGAATTAAATGACCTTCCATATAATAGGGTCAGAGGCAGGATTCCAACCCAAGTTCCCCTGGCATGAAAGCACTTTCCACTCTGGGCCGTCCTCTCTCTGTGCTAGACAGGACTGCGCCAGGCTAACCAGTGGCATTTAGGGCAGGAATTATTTTAAGTCTCCAGCCCTGATGCTTCCCCTCTCCCCAGGTGCAGCATTTGCTATCCACAACATATTCGATAGTTCCAATTTGTTCTGCTCAGACAAGATTCCCATTATTGTCTAATTTCCTTCATCAAAAATTTTTTCAAAAGTGTGAACTAAGATTATAAATGCATGGCCAACAGTGAGAATCAAGCTAAGTAAAATTTACTCCTTATAGTAGAGATTAAAAATGCATTTTGAACAAAAGTTCAGAACAATTAAATTTTCATTTCACCTTTGCTTTTCCTAAGACCAGTTAAAAACTATTTAATGTGCTTTCATTTATTGATAACAGGCTGGTATAACACCAAGCCTGATTCTGTATAATATAGATTTTTTAAATTAGCATATTATATAGAGGAAAGAAATAAAAGGAATGAAAAGTAAGAAGAAAGAATGCTTGAGGTGCCCTTTGATTTCCCCTCGACTCAGGGCTCATTCCAGGGTCCACACAAATTTATATTCACATTCTGCACATTCCAGGTGGCCTTTGAGGTTATTTAGGCTTGAGGCTTTCATATACTTTTTAGCACTGAATCTCATCTTTTTAAAAAGATTTTCTTAATTTTTGGAGAGGGGAATGGAGAGAGAAAGGAGGGGAGAAACATCAATGTGTGGCTGCCGCTCGTGCACCCCATACTGGGAACCTGGTGTGCAACTCAGGCATGTGTCCCAGACCAGGAATCAAACCAGTGATCCTCTCATTCACAGGCTGGCAGTCAATCCATTGAGCCATAGCAGGCAGGGCCTCATTTTAAAATTAAATCTACAATGACACCTGAAGTAAAAGAAAATTTAAAAATACACACACATATACATATACTATACTTTGTAAATTTACATTTATTTTGTACGCTCAAAATGTTAACATTTACTCACTTAAAGTCAATCAACAATTTATACCCTAAAAAGTGAAGAATACTTGTTTACAAAGTTTCATAGTAAAATCATGACTATGCATTAAGCTACAAAGAAAACAAATAATTTTTAATTATAAACAATACAGATAACTTTATTTAGAATTCTATATAACTAAAAGCAGAAAACTGAAACATAAAACCTTACTATTACAAAATATTTTAAATCTTAGGAACAATTTTTGGTCAAAGAGAAAACCAAATGCAAAACATCTGGAGAATAATGACCACCAAAATACTGCCTATCAAAATTTGTGGGAAATAGCTAAAGAGTGTTCAGAAAAGATTTATAGCCTGAAATATTCTAATAAACAAAAAGAGTACAAACATAGGATGTTGTAAAATAATAAAATTAAGGAAAACAATAAGGGACTAATAAAGATTCAAGTAATTATGAAAGAACTGCATAGTAGCACTAATATATAAGCCCACCCTGTCTTTTTTTCTTAAGTAGGACTTCTTCTTAATGACTACGAGTCATTAAGAATAACAGGTAGCAACTGTGCTGGCTGCCACCTGCACCCCCCACAGCACAACTGTGATCTGCCAGAGAGGAGAAGCTAGTGAGGTGAACCCTAGCATCACTCAGGGTTGCTGCCTGTAGGCACTTTCCAGACCATAGTGTGGAAAGGGGACTCTAAGTAAGTGTAGATCTTGCCAAGTTGAAGAAACAGACTGGTAGTCAGGAGATAAGTGTTGCTGGACTTTATGGAGCAGAGTTCTAGAAAGGAGGGAGCTATGCAGAAAAGGAATTCAGAAATCTGAACAGAGGATCTCTTGAGTCTTTAGCTGAATTCTAATGGACATGCAGAGGTGAGACTCCAGAAACTGGGTAAAGTACACTACTGAGGAAAGAACAACTGTTGGGGAGCTCTAAGCCAAACTATTCCCAGGGTCATACAGAGCTGGTACATTGTTAAAGTTCTAACCAATAAGTGAAGAGATCTCATCAAGCCAATTCTGGAAGGGCCAGACCTTAGTAAATGAACTAAACTAGTTGCAGAGCTAAGGCTAGTCTGGACCTGAGCTATGTAATAGGGTACCTGCTAGCCACATGTGGTTAGTTATACCTGAAATATGGCTAGTCCAAACTGAGGTATTTTGTAAATATAATACATACCACATTTCAACGACTTTGTATGAAAAAATAAAGTAAATGTAATGGTTCTAATATATTAATTTCATGTAGAAATTATAATATTTGACTATAGTGGGTTAAATAATATACATTATTAAAAGTAATTTTACTTCTCTTTTTACATTATTTAAAATGTGCCTAATGGAATATTTTAAATTATATGTGGCTTGCATTTGTGGCTCACATGCATATGTGTATTTCATCTATATTTCTATGGGATAGTAATACCATAAACAAATAGATAATGAAACAAAAGAGAAAATCCAAGAATAAACCAATACTTATAGGAATTTCATTTATGTTAATGGTGACATTTCAGATCAGTAGGGAATGATGCATTGTCCAATAATTGGTATTGGAACAAAAGGTTAGCCATATTATAAAAAAGTTGGATACATACCTCTATACTTTATTATAATACAAATCATTAAATGATAGAATAAAACACTAGGGAATTTTTTAAATTAAATTGCATTTTAAAGCTTATGACATAAATCCTAGAAGCTATAAAGGAAAGGTTGATAAACTTTATTTCATAAACATAAAAATGTTCTGCAAGGCAAGAAACAATAGCCAAAGATAAATGATAAAGAACATACTTATAGAAATTACATATAATTATTTTCACACCATAATGAGTGATTTCCATAACAAACTCAAGTTGGATAAAATATGCATTTATTTCCAAA